GAACACTGGGGGCAGGGGAGACATGAGGTATAGGAGGATTGTGGGACACGGTGGACATGGAGGGAACAAGGGGAGAACACTGGGGCTGGAGGACATGGAGGGACAGGGGGGACATGAGGGATGTGGGACATGGTGGGGACAAGGAAAGGACACAGGGAGACAGGGGACATGGAGATGTCAGGAGGGACACAGGGGGCACACACACGAGGGGCATGGGGCACTGGGCAACATGGAGGACTTGGGGCTGACACAGTCATGGGATGAGCAGGGACAGAAGACACAGAGACTGGGGGAGACAATCTCCTTTAGTGTCCTGCCCCTTCTCCAACATTATTAAGCAATGACTTCTCTTTCTCAGGTATGAGATTTTATTCAAACAGTGTGTGGGAACAGAGGATGTCTTCTTTGGGATGAGTGGGAAAGACCCCTCCACCGCCTGCTGTGAAGATATAGTGGTAAGCTGAATCTGCATCTCCAATCCCTTCTCTGAGCTCTTTCTCTGCCCTTTTCCATCTTCCCATCTTCTTGAGGGACAGACTGTGAATACCAAATGGTACTGCTGCCTTTGGTTCCTGTAGGATTTTCCTGAAGTGCTTCAAGCATTTGTAGATGATACTTGCTAACCTGAGGAGCCTGGGTACCTCCTCCAGGACCAAGTGCACTTAGGGAATCTGTGCAAATGCATATGCCACACATGAACTTAAGGGAAATAAAATGTGAAGTTTCATCTTGGACACAATTTTGCATGGGAGAGGGGCTGGGAAGGAGGTAGCTTGCATCTGTCTGCATTTTTTAGAAGGTAGGTGAGTGAGCAGAATGCTACAATACTGACAGTCTTCAAAGTTACAAGTATCAGATCCTGTCACATCATTGTATCACCAAATACCTCCTGTTTTCTGACCTTCAGGACAGGTAGAACTGCTGTGGTGTTTTTCTAGTAAAGGCAAAATGTCCTTGGAATACACAAAGCCTGAGGCTTTTGCTGGATGTAGAATACCTGTCAAGTACATTATCAGCTCAGGATCTTGAAGTAAATAGGATATCAATGCACATCACTAACCTATTGAAAGCAGTGATTATTACTGTCATATTTTCTCTGATGCAAATTACCTACTCAAAATGTTGCTCTTTGACACTAGCATAAAAATAGTCATGGAGATGAGATCTTTTATGGCTTGTAGGGCTACATATGTAATCACAGCTTTAACTCTGCCCATCATTTCAGATTAAAATCAAGCTGCCGGAGACAAAGTACTCAGACATCTCACTAGAGATCCAGGACAAGGTTCTTGACCTTCGAACTCCCACCAAGTAAGTGTAACACAGCTGATAAAAATACAGTTAATATCTTGTTTGAAATGAGGTTTAACTGAAGGCTGTGTGGAAAACAAAGCTAAAAATGAAGATCAAATCATTAATTGCATATGAGAAATATGTATAGATAAAACCAACTGTAGTCCATCTATAGGTTTATAGTGTGCTAGCTTTGAGTCTGTGATACTCTCTAGTGAAAAACAGCTTTAAGACAGATTTTGGCTACTTAAACAACAAGGCTTCAAAACATCTTGCAAAAAGCTGCCCAAGGACTTCATGTGTAGCATTCTTAATACTAATTTGTACAAATATGTGACTGAATATGGTAACAAATGTGCAAATGCATTTTCAGAAGCTGAAAGCCAAATTATGGACACATCCAGGCATGGAAGCAGAGATGGGAATGTTACAGGGTTCTCCTAAATAGAATTCCTCTGAGTTCTTTTTTTGTAGGGCTATTTCAAGCCTATGAAGATAAATCAACTAACTGATATACTCTTGGACTTCTCAGTCTTCCTCCATCTTTCCCTCTGTGTGCAATTGCCCTGCCTGAGATTTCCAGATCATTCCCATGTCTGTTTTGCTTGAAGTCCTTCTTCACAAAGAATGTTTTCATAAGAAGTCTTAATCCTCTCTGGGCTGACTTGCTGCATTGAATGGGATATGGGAAGATCTATATGTGAATAGCTTTCTGCAAATAAATTCAAGGTCCAGGTCATGAATTAAGGTCCAAATAAGTTCTGTCCTGGTAGACTAACTATAGAAAAGCCGCTTTTTTCACAGCCAAAACCAGGTAGAGCCAAAACCAGGTAGAGTCAGTTACCCTGTGCTTGGTTTTATCCCAAAGATACAACAAGAATGGAAGTGTTTGGAAGTTCAAGCTCTGAAACTGGGAAAATGTGAGGAATAATTGATCAGTTAATGACTTGCAGAGCCATAAGTAGTAAAAGACGTTGCTTAATGCAACACTGCAGATGTAGGAAAACTTCAGCATCCTTTCTGGTTTGCAATTTTATCTTTTTGGTGACTCAGACCTGCCATTATCTGCTCAGTATCTCAGTATCCAGTTGTCTCCAGTCACAAGCCTAGTAAATCAAAAGTTCACCATAAATCTAATGGTTGCTTGAGTACAGCCTGAGCCAGTGCTGCTTTCACAAATATAAGTCTGCTCAGTATGAAAGAAACAGCCAAGGCTTCATGTTCTGCATACTGAAAAACACTGTACTGTCAGGAATGGTGAGGAAGACTCATAGGAACTACCTCCAACTCTAGTCCTGGGGCCATTACTAAGCCAAGCTGATTTTAAGGACTTCTCCAAATTACAGCAAATGGCTTCCTTCAGTAGGTGTGGTGCATAGGTGTTTTCACTGTACCTCTTTCAGCCATGCCTCCTAGAAGACAGCTGAAAAGGTCTGAAAAAGTATCAACATAACTTAAACCCCAGTTTAAAGAACGAAGTTGTTTTGTTGGGCATTATAGAGTTTGGCTGGGCAGATCTCTTGATTCTACAGTGTCCTGGATTCTGTTTGCACTGTCAGAAGAGTGGTGGTCCAAGACTGTGTCATCATTCATATCGTTAGTATTTAATCCTGGGATAAGAGGGAAGAGTCCAGACTCTGCATCAGCAAGTTCAGTGGGTCCAGACTGAGACATCCTTGGGAGGAGAGAAACCACAAGGCTTGTCAGTCATTCCAGGAAAGGTTATATGTCTAATATAGTAATGGACTCTGGAATAGTTCCTGTGTCCAAACCCCAATCTTTATTTTTTGTATTATGTGCCTGAGGCACAGGTAGGGGATCACTGAATTAATCTTTGATGTAGGTTAAAATCCCAGCAACTTCACCAGTGTAAGTCCATTCCTCAACTCTGCTTTACCGTGCAGACATTCTCAGTGCAGCTCCTCCTTCTGCTGCGTTTCATAGTATCATAGTATGTTAAGGGGTTGGAATGGACCTTAGAGATCACCTAGTCTCAACCCCCTGCCCTGGGCAGGAACACCTCCCACCAGAACAGGTTGCTCAGGGCCTTATCCAACCTGACTTTGAACACTGCCAGGGTTGGGGCAGCCATAGCCTCCCTGTGGGCAATCTGTGCCAGTGTCTCACCACTCTCACAGGAAAAATTTCTATTCTAAATTTCCCCTCTTTCAATTTACACCCATTACTCCTTATTCTGTCACACAGTTCCTATACAAAATCCTTCTGCAGCTTCCCTATAGTCCCTTCAGACATGGAAAGTTGCAATGAGGTCTCCACATAACCTTTTCTGGGATGAACAGCTCCAACTTTCTTAGCTTGTCTTCATAGAGAAGGTGCTCCAGTCCTCCTATCAGCTTCATTGCCTCCTCTGGACTTGCTCCAACAGTTCCATGTCCTTCTTATGCTGGGGACACCAGAACTGTCTGCAATACCCCAGGTGGGATAGTGCAGCACTGTACAAAAGTAGGAGTACTGGAGAGAGCCCACAATCCATCCTTGGAAACCATTGTCATGGCTGCAGCCTAAAGAAAGGGATAGTGCTGTAAGTATTTCAGGGCCTGTACAGTTGTGCACCAGGCATTACAGGAACTCCACAACCTGTCATGAGAATGAGACGTCCTGGAAGAACATTCTCTGGTATGCTGACTGGAGAATTGCAGAGAACTTGCAATGACACCTCAATTGCTCACCTTGTCAGAGACACTGAAATTCACTGTGTCCTCTTTTACAGGAAGCTGCTGCTGCACCTCCCCTACCATGTAAACAGCAAGGATGGTAAAGCTCGTTTTCTCTCTGAAGAGGAGATCTTGGAAGTCACTTTGCGAGTATTAAGGAAGATTGATTTCATAAATCTTGGCTGATGGATAGAGAGATAAAGAAAGTTTGCAGAAAGTAATTTTCTAGCTTGAAGTTGTCTTGAAACCTAACTCGTCATGGAATAGTAGATTGTTTCCCTTGAGCAGTCCAGGGAGAATATCCCTGGAGAAATAAGTCAGGAGGAACATGGTACTAACAGATTCTAAAAACTGAGGCTGTCCTGCTCTTGTTAACTTTCTGCTTCCTTCAGTCTGATACAGAATCTGGGCATCAGAAGGTAGGAGCCTACAATTCTGTAAGCCAGAGAAAACCTTTTCTGTGATTATAGCTGAGAATTAGCACAGAGAGGCTCTGGTCAATGAGTCTGGAGCTTAGGTACTCTTTCAAGACTAATATTCTTGCTTGGTCTCCAGTGCTGGAACTGACGCCAGTTCAGAATCCTCTCTTACCTACTCCTTGGTGGGAAGATCAAGGCTCTTCAGGGATCCATATCCACATCTTGGACTTGATGATCTTTGAGGTCTTTTCCAACAAGGCTGATTCTATGATTCTATGATCTACAGCTCCTTTACACTGGCAAAACAAATTAACCAACTATAGTTGAACATCTCAGCGCTTTTGAACAATTTTTGTCAATGTATGGTTCAGTGTCTTCTCTTCAGCTGCTGTCTCTCCAGTGAATTTTCAGATCTTTCTTGATTAATAAAGTAACCTGTTCTAAGGAACAGTTCCAGTTTCCTTTGATTCTGCTTTCGCTATATTATGTCCCGAGAGACCTCCTTAAAGCAAGATAAGAAGAACTTTGCATAACAAAGCGTCACTCAAAGGGCTGAAATGTTGCAAAATCTTTTCTTTGGCCTTCAGGTCCAACCTAGAGCTACAGAGATGGGTAACCAAGATGTGTCTCTCACTAGCTGCTGGGCAAATATATTCATTTAACATTGTTAGTCATGCAGGAAACAAAGGTATTTGCTCAATGATCAAAGCGGAGAGGACAAGCAGGGCCTGGCATGTTGATGGACTTTAGGTACACTTCACCAAAAACTTGTAAGCAGTTTCAGAGTAAAATGGCTCAAGCCCTGCATTCTTCTGGTGTGCAAGCAGAGGTAAACACCTGACCAGCTAGGTAGGCTGCAGACAGCAGCCATACAACTAAACTTGTGTCAGGCTATAATGAGAAGATGGGCACTCCATGATGGACTGAAGGCACTGACAGTGAGTTTAAAGGGATATTTTAGGTCTTTTCAGGAATTTTCAGAATTCACAGTTTGTTTGCAATATACTGATTATAACTCTAGGACAAATTGTGTCTGGGCATTTTAACTGCTCCCCTGAAAAGTGGACCCTTTGTCTGCATCAGGCTAATCCTAATCAACTTCTGCTTTATCCTTAATGCACTGGAAAGTAGATACCTCAGTTATGATTCATTACAAGCTATTGAATATGCTGATAACACTCAGAGGCTACTCCAATTTTTATTTGCTTAAGTTTCCATAAATTACCTTTGAATGTCTCTTATTCGAAAGCTGTTGCTGTGGGGAACAAGGTGAATGTATGAAGAGGCTGAGATCATTCCTCCTGACTCAGTTTTTCCCTCCTGTGGTTGCCAAACAAGCTGTTTCTTGGAAAAAAAGGCTGTCTCTGTGGTCCCTAGACAATATGCTGCTTTGGTTTTGCATTTCTTATACACATTACAAGAAGAGTGGGAAACTGACCTGTATTTATACACATGTGAAGATAACATTTGTCCAAATTAATTCAGTACATCCACAGCAAAGCAGAGTACAACTCTGCTCTCCTGAGCCCTATTCCAGTCCTCTAGCCACAAGGTTATGTTGCCTTTATAGCTGGCGGTAGTGATTTACTAAGCCTTAAATCACCAAGCTCTGCCTAATATAATGCCAATGTTTGATGCTGAAAACAATGATGAGTTTGGCTCATTGTGCCTCTCTCCAGTATTTTAGTTCCTTATGGAGATGAGCATATGCCACACCAGTATCAGTATCATATTTTACCTCCGAATCTTTTTTAACCTGGGGGCATTTTATCTGCATTCAAGAGAGAAAAATCTGAGGTAAGTATGTTTTATAAGCAAGTTAGCTGCTGAATAAAAAAGGGAAATACAAATTTCTACTGCTTAAGGGGGAAGTTCTAGTGTGATTTCTTGTACCTGCTGACCACTCTGTGTACCCATACTCCAGGCTGTTGCAGGTCATCCACACTGCTCATAGGCAGTCAGGATGTTGCATTGCTCCAAAGGACAATCTCTACTGCTGTTTTCAATAGAGCAGAAACACTGCTCTTTGCTGTGCTGCTTGGGTCCTGAATGCACCATCATCATATACAGATCCTCTCACATTCTACTGTCTTCCTATCAAGGACACAGAAGCTGTCCTAGGCAAAAGGTTGGGGTTTTTCTTTTCTATATATCATCCCAAGAGGAAACTGATCAAAAGGATATGCAGGTTGTCCAACCTCACAGAAATCTGGGAGCTACTGCCAGCCACAAGGGTTGACTTTTTTGCGAGGGCTTGAGGGCAGCTTTGCTTTGCTGAACTAAGCACTGGCAGAAATCCTTAGGAAGGGGATACAAAACCCCCTTTGCCTCTGAACATCAATGCTGTTGCCTAAATACCACTCCAACACCTGCAAGCATCTTAATTAATCAAAATTATGAGCCCAGTTAAACAACCCAGCCATTAAGCACCAGCCATTAAGCATCATCAAGTTTTATTTGTTTTCCTAAGAAACATCTTGATTAAATGTATTGCAGTTAAGTAGAGGGTACTGTAGATGTAGAAATGAGATAGAGGCTTGTTTGCAGTAGTATCCCAATAAACTGCAGGTTGTCATCTCACCTTGTTCATGCATTCTGTCCTCCAGCTGTGGTTGCAGAGCCACCATCCCCATTGTGACTTGTTCCTGCCTTCTCTCAGAGCTGTGCTGGTGTGCTAAAGTACATGGCCCAGCTCACTCTCTGAGTCTCACCTCTCTTCATAGTCTCCCTTTGCCCACATACTGACCCACGGCCAAGATACTTGCCTCATTCTATGGCTTGAGAAAGAGCAAACTGAGAGAGTTGCTCCATATAAACACCTGAAACAGAGCAAGAACTTAAATTTAGATTTTCCCCCTAAATGTGCAGGCTAGCTCCTGGGCTGTTCTCATTCCCATCTTCCTTCTGCTCTGTTATATACCCCTTGTGTTTGTTTTAAAAGGAAGCCTACTTCCTTTCTTCTGCTGTTCAGTTTAAAGTTTGTATCCAAACTTTCTATGTACTTCTTCCACTGTATGAAACACTGCTTTATCAGTATATTCTTCCCTCCAGATAAAGTTTATCTAAAACAACTCAGCTCTATCTATATGCACAGAAAGATCTCTCCCCCTCGTGCTGGAGCAGCTGCCTTTAAATGTGCTGTGTGTTGGCAGACCTTTGCCCTCTGCTATGCAATACTGCAGCTTGGATTCATCCTTGTTCTCTGGGATCCCCTTCAAGAATTGCTGCCACAGACAGTCACTGTTGTCTGCCTATGGTCTTGGCTTGAAGGAAGGTGCCTGGAATATGCTGGGAGTTGGGTTATTTCTTTCCTATAGTCTTCACAAGCAGGAAATGCTTTCTTTCTTTGTCTGTCTTCACTCTGTCTTCTCCTTCAGGTAGAATTCACACTCACATCATGTCCTCAGCAGATGATTGTGAACAGCATCCCTGGTTTTCCTTTTCCCTCTGATTGTTTGTTCTAGGCTTACTTCAGGACACTGATTCCTCTCTGCTTTCCTAAGTGCTTTATGTCCCTTCCCTCAATTGTTCTCACATTAGGACATTTCTCACCAGAGTCTCCTGACAGGTTGCAGTTGACATATCTGATCCTTCTTGGATGTGCCAAACGTGGGTGAAGTGTGTGATTCATCTCCCCTCACCCAGCTCAATGCTGGGTGAAGCACTTTGTCCTTCCTTGCAGTGTGTCCAGTCTGTGTGGGTGGGAAGGGACACAAGCAGGAGCACCAGAGGCAGAACCTGGACTGTGTTAAGGCAGTTATAGGGAAGGATCACGACACAAAAATTCCCACAGGTTCCACAGTGCAAATAGGGCTGGTTATGAAGAAATGAATCAATTCAGAAAAATAATCATTAAGAATTTTAGCCTTTCCAAAGGCCTGAAAAGTTTATTTCTGCTTCCTGATATGTGTCACCATGTCTCAGATGAGTACTTAAAGAAGTTTTGAAACCCATTCCAGGGTAACAGTGATACAGGCAACATAGGAGTGCCTTTGGTTTTGGGGTACTTCTCTCAATCCATTGAAATCTTTGGTCATTTTGTACTTTCTTATCTCAAGGTCTGCCTTTCATCTTTTTTCTCTGCCTTCACACACACTCGTTTCTTAAGGTCACAGGAAGTTGCCAGAATGATAGCAGATACTGTCCAGTTACAACCCTTAGTGACTATCTCTCTCTAATTGGGAGCCTCTTTCATGGATCCCAGCAGCCTGGCAGGTCACTTCTGATGCTGATAGACATTATTTTTAACTTGCTAGTATCACAACCCAGCAAAGACTGCCAGGACAGCTAGGTTGGATTTACTGAAACCATTCTTTGATTCTACTTGGCAACCTGTCTCCTGTAGCTGCTCAGCAAGAGAAAAACAGCCAGTCACCTCTTCTGGAAAATTCTTTTTATGCCGGAAAGCTGTATAAAAAAGAATAGGATGGGGATGAAGATGGACACTGCTGATTTTTGTTAACTCGTGAGATGATGTGGGCAAGACAGACATTTGCCAAACAGTGGCAAATTAGGACCTGTAGCAGATGTGAGCACCAATGCTTGAGTTTAATGATGATGTGAGCTCTGGGTGAGTTCCACCCCTCACACATGCCCAAGTAATGAGAGTTTTCTTCATCTGGTTTCTCTGACCCCGTCATGCTGGTGATGGGATCTGCTGACCCAAATTCCTGTGTTCCTAAAGCAGAGCCTTGGGTAGCACTGTGGCAAACTGGCAGGTATATAGAGGGGAACAAGGGATTGGATTCACCTGAGATAGTCAGCTGT